CTATAAAACATAAATAATATGAGTACTGCCTGCTAAATTCATGAAATAAATCAATAAATTACTTACCTAAATTATCTGAATAGCTGATTTGTTGACATCACTTGTTTGACTAGCACTAGCACACAGTATGATGTGTATCATCTGAGAGACAGTTACAAAATGCTTTCATCGTTGCCAATGCCCCAAAATGCCATTGTTCATTAAGTCCAAACAATGGTGGTCTAATTCTAACTGATCAACAATGTGAACTTTGATAAGCACTTCTCAATAATCAGCTCTCAACAATTATTTGTTATTATTAAAGTTTAACATTATAAAATTAACAAAAATAATATAAAACTCATATCCTGGAGAAATAGCCACATGGCAGCCAAAAACTGTATATTCCCTTCCCGTTCTCCCACCATTCCCTAGCTTGTTGTGCATTCTTTCCAAAAATCGAGACTTTTTTAAAACACTGCAGGATGGGGGACAGTTGTTAGAAATCAGGACTGTACCGCCAAAAGCAGGACATCTGGTCACCTTACGATAGATGTTGTAAAATCAGCCTTCAGAAAGGCTGTACCGACTTTGGCGGGGCTGGCCCCATGGGAGAGCACTGACTTCACTTCCTCCTTGTTGACACTCAGCCTGAAAACTGTGTGTGCAAAACAGCTGGCTTTAGGTTGTCTGTCTTTTATTACTGGTAGTATGGACTTTCTTCTAGGTGTTTATCTGCTGTCATTATGTATTATTTGTGTTTTTGACCATTCACTTATCCATCAGGGGTTTCCCTACTGTTGGGTATACACGATTCAAAACCTACCATCACTAAGTGAGGAAAGGGCGATGCATCTAATCTTGGTGCTTCCCTCCCACTTGCATGTGTAGACTATCATCATCTTGGGAAACAGAGGACCTGTCTCCTTTCCCTCAAAGACTCCAAGCTACTTTGGAAAACACAACAAGTACAGCTTTAGCTAGGTGTTACTTCTAATAACTGGCTATTTATTACATATTTGAGCAAGGGGGGTAATTAGAAACATGCTTCATCTCACTGGTTGAGTTAATATTAATAAAACCTGGGAGATATGCATTAACTTGTGCCATATTCCACAGCTGGCTCTGGACAGAGCCAAAACTGGACCCCAGATGTCTGGCCATCCCAGCTCAGCACCTGGCCACCTAGGCAGTGTTGTGACCTCAGCAGTTCTTCAATAGGACCTTCTACTTTTCACCTGAAGTGATATTTTGAGTAGCAAAAGAGCAAGGAAGTCTTTTTGGCTAATTCCTGTCCACATTCCACTTCACAGCATCGTCATGAATCAGGCTCAACCTTTCCAACTTAGCATTTCCATCAGGATGTGTTGAAGCCAACTCAGGTCAGATTAGACACCCTTTCAGAAACTTTGTATGTAGGCCCCAGGATGAGAAAATTCTTTCAGCATCTGCAGGAGCATTATCCACCATTCATTGTTGATAAACATGGTAGAAAAGAGTGTCAAATTTTATATGGGCTGTGAGTTTTGCCTAAGAAAAGAGCTCGTCCGAGTGGAGGAACATTTTATTAACCTTCTGACATTATTGCACCCCTAGAGAACACACATCTCCTTCCTGATTTTTCTTACATTCCTTTTTTCCCCTGAAAAGGTACTAGTTAATTAACCACTCAGATCCTGAGCATTCTGTGTAAACTGGTATCTTCTGAAGACCAGAAGGGAAAGCAGTCCTGAGCCTCTGCCCAAAATACACAAACCTCAAACCAAAAATACACACAAAACTGGGAATGCTGAGGTCAATACTCAGTAATAACCCTGGCTTAATCATGCCCATTACAAATGTGTTAAATTTACGGATGTGTTCTGTTTTAATGCTTTTTAAGCTATTGATCTTGAAATGTTCTAATTTTGAATATTAAACTTTACTGTAAGAATAAAAGTGTGATGATTTTCTCTCTTTTTTAGGTGTTCATTAGGCAAGGGTTATTGTTAACAGCAACTATTAGACAGGGCTGCATTTGACAAATCCTTGATTGCAAAGGGATAAGAGAGTATTTTTTTTTCTCATTTAAAAAATGTACTGCTCTTCTTCAAAGTCCTGTTATTAGCTGTTGCTCAGAGATTATCATTTCATTTAGCACAGCTCTCACCTCACCATGTACAGCAAGATAAATGAGTTACAAGTAAATGTATCTTACTAGAATGTTCTCTTTTTATTACTTTCTTTCCTAGATAAGTAACGCTAAAAATCTTATTCTCTTATCTAAAAATTTTGTAGAAAACCTCATGTTCTCTTCAAACAGAAAAAAAAAGTCACTGGGTGGAGTGAAAGCACATTAGACTCCTAAACTCTCTCTGAAAGGTAGAGTAGCATATTTCTGTTTTATAAAACTCTGCTGATTGTTTTATAGCAACTGATGTAATTTGACACATGTGTTATGTTTCAAGTTTTCTTTTTTACCAAATAATGTCCCGTTTGCTTTTAGCAATGAAAGTATTTCCTACGTAACATTTTCCCATTTTCTTTCTGAAAATAAAATTATTTATGAAACCATGGCTTAGCAACGAAAAGGAAAATGGCGTCTTTTCTTTCTTCAAGGGAGGCAAAGGAGTGTGTAGTGTACTGGAAAGAGCTCTGGCCCGAGGATAAGGAAATGTGGATGCCCAATTCTAGTCTGCTGTAATGTAAATGTTTGTCAGATGGGTGGATCAGTGAGTAGACAAACTCTCTGGACCTCAGTTTCCCGGGTATAACATTGAGGACCTGGAATAGATTATGCCTCCTACCCCTCTAAACTTTCCTCATTCTGTGTAAGCACTGTCTCCTTTCTTACTGGAACCCTTTGTTGTGTAATAGTCATCTTAAGGATTTTTAGAATACAATGCGTCTGGTTTGTTTTGGTGTTGCAATACTTTGCCTATTCTTTATTACTAATCCATCTCCTTCTGCTTGGAAACAGTCCTTACCTAATGATACAGGAAGTCAGTGATTCAGGGTTGAGGAAGAAGTCTTGGTTTTTATACCTTTCCTAAGGCTCTAACATGTGAGATTAATTTCCCTGTATTATTCTGGTCCAAACCTGAGATAGAAAATTATCATACGTTTTTATACTTGTCCCAAATTCAGTCCTTAATTTAATGAGCCGTGTATCCATACATTAGCACAAAAAGTCCTGCTGTAACGTTTTCAAGTCACACCACCCAATTAAACCATGCTTGGTGAGGATTTCCCACGATCTGTTTATTCTGTGTGAAGCTTTCATTCCTACAAGTCATTTGCCTGGGAAAAGTTTGGAAGGACACGGATCAACTGGAATGGGAGAGAGCTAGATTGAGAAAAAAAGTGAAAACAAAAATGAAGATCCAGCTTATCTTGAGTGAGGGTTTCTGGTGTGGATTTGTTATTCTGTTTTAAATAAATTGCCAGAATACCAGATGCAGTCATATTCAAATTTAGCTACAGCAACTATTTAATGGATTATTACACAGATATTAAAATTATGCCTGTGAAGAATTCTTACAAACACAGCAAATTTGGTAACTAAGGAAACTGTGAGAAGAAATTTTGTGTAACAGCTTGTTATCAACCAAAGGGAAATAAAAACAGCAACACAGTAACTGGATTTTTCTCTGGATGATGATATTATTTTGTGGTAATTTTTCTTCTCCGTATTTTTACTTTTAAAAAACAACCAGAGGATAAGTTCTGTTAAAAATTGACCATGCACACTATGTTGTGTATCTTTTTGCATTGCTGTGATTTGGGATTTTTCCAGGCCTGTGCTCATAGAGGAATGGCCCCATGAGAGAAAGAACTCGGAGAGGTTCAACTTACCCCTCATACCGGAGGCAACAGCAGACCATGGGGAAGAGTCCAGTAGCCTCAGGAAGGAGAAAGAAGGTCTCAAATATCACAAGGATCAGCAACTGCAGGGCTGAGATCCCATAAATACTCTTTCATTGCATTCAGTGAAAATTTATTGAGCAACTTTTGTGTGCGGGATACTAGCTATATGGTCCAGAGATCTTAGAAGAATAAGAAGACTTATCTCAGACCAAAAGGAACTGATATTTTTGTGCAAATAAATCTTAGATGTACTGAAAAAGCTACACAAGGGTGGAGTGGTCAGCTGGCATGGGGGGATTGGAAGATGATGCTTGAGACTAGAGCTGGTCGCCAGGGTGGGAGCAGAGTTACATGTGTAAAAACCACTGAGTTCATGACTCTGTGTGGCACATTCTGGGTTCAGCAGGGCTGGGCATAGATTACAGAAGAGATAAGGACAAATTTGTTGATGCAAGTGACAGAAGCGAAGTCATGTCTCTTTGAGTGTCTGCTGTGTAGTGCAGCCTTTGTCCGGATGGTGACAAGAAGCCATTTGGAGATTCTTAAACTGTAGATTTGCATTTGGAAGAGATTACTTTGGTGTCAGTTTGGGGAAAAGGGAGGCCAGAGGGAAGCTGTTATAATGGCCCCCTGAGCTGGGGGTGGGTATGAAAGGACAGCAGTGACAACTCAAAGGAAGGGAAAGCTGGAGAGGTCGTGAAACACAGACTTAGACCCGTAGCCTGTAGGATGTCATGTGTGAAAAAGAGGGGGGCAAGGAAGAATTTGGGGATATGAGTTTCAGTTTAAGACATATTTAAAGTTCTTTCCATCCTTCTTTCTTTCCTCTCCTTCTGTCCCTTTGTATCTCTCCAGCCCTTCCTGCTCTTTCTGCCTACTTCCTTCTTTCACTTGTTGAGCCATTCAGTAAACTTGTATTAAGCCCTGACTGTGTACCAGGTACTTTCATCCTAGGTCCATTGTCAACCATCCTAGGTCCATTGTCAACCATGCCAATTTCCACGTATCCTCAACCACAAAGGGAATGTCATTTTTATAACCACAGCTGCTGGGTGTCTCTGACTAGGACACAGCCCATCAGGCATAAGACACAAATTGTTTAATTTCTTTACAATGGCATTGCATAATATATGTTTTTATATTGGAACTACCACTAATGGCCATTTTCTTTATAGGTAGTGCCATTATTTCTGTTACATTCCTGAAAGAAAATTTGAGAGCTTCAGATTTACTAGGTAAGTAATTATTTAATTCATATAATTATAGCATTGCTTGATCAGGATATAAGTAAAAGTATCTATTAAAAACATTGAAAAACAGGGCAGTGCCTGTGGCTCAAAGGAGTAAGGCGGCGGCCCCACATGCCGGAGGTGGTGGGTTCAAACCCAGCCCTGGCCAAAAAAACCTGCAAAAAAATTTAAAAAAAAAACATTAAAAACTGGAAACAAGGCCAGGTACAGTGGCTCACACTTCTGATCCCAGCAATTTGGGAGGCCAAGGCAGGAGGATTCCTTGAGCCCAGGCATTCAAGACTAGCCTGGGCAACACAGCAACACCCTAAAATAAATTAGGTGGGTGTGGTGGCATGCACCTGAAGTCCCAGCGACTCGGGAGGCTGAAGGGAGGATTGTTTGAGCCTGGGAGTTGAAGGTTTAGTGAGCTGTGATTGTGCCACTCCAGTGTGGGTGATAAAACAAGACCCTGTCTTTACGAAAAAATTCTTTCTTTAAACTGGAAACAAATTACAGAAGTTATTGTAAATCTTATGTAGAAATAAGCATTATTCTGTCTTGGAGTTGCTATCTTTTTTCACATGAAACGCTTCCATTTTCATTATGACCACTGCCCGTGCTATTGGCCATAGCAAATTATTATTTTATAATAATATTATTATTGTTATGAAAACTTTGTGAACATAATAAAATTCAATGGAAGTGTCTGTGTTACTTAATAGACTACTTCACTTCAAAGGACATATTTGTTGTATTGTTGTTGCTGCCCAGCCAGGTTCATGTGCCCCAGAGGAAACCAATACCCAGAGAAGACAGCAGGGTTTACAGCAAAGAAAGAGTTTATTCCACATAGTGCTAAGCAAGGAGACAGGAGGAATTTCTCAAATCTGCTTCCCTGAGAATTTGGGAGACAGGGTGTTTAAAGACAGTTCGGTAAACAGGTAACCCTGCTCATTAGCTGGGTTTGGGGTGGAACCATCAGTCTCTTAGTACAGGCACTGTGTGGGTGGAATGCAGGAGCTGGAAGATATCTCAAAAACTACCCCAAGTTTCGAATAGGTGATGTTAACTATGGAGAAAAATTAAAAATCTTTACAACTACCAGCTGTGTCCTCCAGAGTAGCAATTACAGAGAGGCAAACCAGGGGACAGTGTCTTATGATTAATTATCATTGTTTTTAGCTGAGCCTATTCCTTCACAGAGTTGGGGGGTCTTTACTCCAGTTCTCACCTGGCACCCCTTCGTTGATCTGTAAGAGTGATTTCATTGTTACATGAAAGTACTGCATAAAAACAAAAAGCACGAAAAATCAGATGCACCAATTAATCATTACATTTGTAGTTAGCGCCTTTTAAAAGTCACACAGAACATCGCTGGTCAAATTTACATGTGGAAACTACACTTATTAATGGAAAATAACAAAAGCCTTCCTGGCTGTGAGAAGGATCTCTGTTACGTTGTAAAACCATCATTTATTCATTGCATCTTTTAGCTCTTACTGGAAAAATCGTGTTGAGAAGAATTATAGAGATTCATATTTTCTTCCTTGACAAAATCCTGTTGGAATTGCTGCTGACATATGTTTTTTTTTTTTTTTTTTTTTTTTTTTTTTTTTT